CTTTCATAGAAGTGTGTGTGTGTGTGTGTGTGTGTGTGTATAGAGAGAGAGACAGACAGAGAGAGAGAGAGACAGAGAGAGAGAGAGAGAGAGAGAGACAGAGAGAGAGAGACAGAGAGAGTTGCCCACAGAAGAGAGTAGGAATTGAGTACTTGCTCTGCATTGCCTACATTCATAACCTGCAGGATCTTAGAAGCAGACAGCAGATAAAAAGGCTACTGAGAATTGCTATTCAACAAGATAGTGATAATCCAAGACTAACTGAACAAATGATCTAATTAAATACAAGCCTGTTTTATATCACATGTTTCATGTGTGGTATAAAAAGAAGTTGCAGATGCATCTGATCCCTGTTCTACATCTCTAGTCACCAAGGAGAAACAAAAGGAACACTATGCAGCTTCATGAGATGCAGATGTAGCACAGAGTAGCATTTGCTAGGGCTTCAATTTTGTCCTCTTTAATTGGAAGGTGAAAGATGGATGAAAGATCTGTTTGGCAAAAATGAATGCTGGTAATTATTAGTAGTAACCATGATAAACATCCATAATTTGCAGGGCAGCTGCTCAGAGAGTTTTCATTAACAGAGGATTTAAAAGGCAATGGAAAAACGCTTTCCTTTCCAGCTCTGTGTAGTGGAATGACCTACAGATTGACAGAATCATAGTGATACATGCACAAATTAAAGTATGTCTTGGGTGAATGGTCAAAATTATCTTAGTATTATTCTGTAACTCAGTTACATTTATTTTTCTTTTAGAAGGTTAAAAAGGAGGCAGGTGTGTCAACTTTCTTTCAACTGTTTTCCTGTGTGGTCTAATATAGAACACATTGGTCTAATGTAGATATCACAATAGAACAGCATTTTGGAACAATAAACGTTTGGTTATAAATGTTTTTAAATTGTTTACAGCCAATCTTTCCTTGCAGGAGGCATACACATGGGTGTCCTGGATGTGTGTTGCAACTGCCAAAAGAGCCAATGCAATCTTGTGTGCAGAGATATAATGTTGAGATCACAGGAAGTGATAGTTCTGCTCTATGCTGCACTGGTTAGACTGTACTGGAATATTGTGTCCAGTTTTGGTTGCCACAATACAAGAAGGATATTGAGGAACTAGAACGAGAAGAGCAGAAAAATGGTGGAAGGCTCAGAGGCTAAATCCTATGAAGAACATTTAAAAGAACTGGATACGTTTAGCCTAAAGAAAAGAAGGCTAAGGGGAGTCATGCTAGCAATCTTCCAATACTTCAACAGCTATCACACAGAAGAGAGTGTGAATTTATTCTTCGTACCACCTGAGGGTAGGACAAAGCCAGTGGATGGAAGTTTTACAGAGAGAGATGCACACTCAAAAAATAAGGAGTAATCTCTTGACCATGAGAGCTCTTGAGCAATGGAACAGCCACCTGCCTCCTGGAGTTGTGGGTGTTCCATCACTGGTGGTTTTTAAACAAAGATTGGATAGCCTAACTTTGCTGGGATAGTCTGAGGATTCCTGCCCTGGGCAGAGGTATGGACTTCCAACCCTATGTTTCTAAAATATCCGTTCCACACTATATCTTGTATTCAGAAAATGAACAACTGTAACTCATGCCTTTATATTGATTCACTTGTACTACTGAACTGCAATGTGCTTCACATGAGACTGTCTCTGAAGACCAGCCAGAAGCTGTAATTGGTGCAGAATGCATTATTAGCTGGTATACATTGCCAGGAGCACATTACAAACCCTGATTGGCTCCCAATAGTCTTTCAGGTACAATTCAAAGTGCTGGTTTTAATCTATAAACCCTTTTCAATTTGTCACTTATTTACTTATAGACATACTGACTTAATTATTTAACAAATGTATATAGCCACCCATCTACCAATGGAACTTTGGGCAGTGAGCTAAAGTAAAACTTGCTACACAAATCAATTAACAGAGCCAGGTTGAAGCCATTGTAAAAACACCTTACCGACACATCTCACACACTTATGCTGAGCTCTACTAACATTCTGGCCCCAGCGCCTGGGGGAAAAGCCAGGTCTTCATGGCCTCCTGGAAGGCCAAAAGGGTCAGAGCCATCTTAATCTTGGGGTGGAGGCAGGTGCCATGTCAGAGGAGGCATTCTTTCTAGGACTCACCAGGTGACACGGCTTCACTGAGGGGACCCAGAGCATGCCCACTCTGCTAGATCTACTGCGATGGGCAGAAACCATGAGAGATAGGTGGAACTACAAGTAGGTACTGCTTAGATATTGTCAGGATTGGAATCTA